CCACCGAGAGGGACCACCTTGAGCATCCTCCTCTCTCTTTCTCTTATATTAATAATTACGCCGCCGAAACCTGTCCGGGTATATACACTGGTGCAGAGTATACGCCGGGAGGAGCAACAGGCTGCTCGTTGCTGCTCGTCCAGGTACTCGTAATTGTCGGGCCCTCTCTTTCGATCCTCTCGCTGAATACCACACAAATACGCCACGAGTTTACCCGTGGAAACGAGCGAGAGGAGCGAATTCCAACCGAAAATCGAGCACGTGCTTTTTACGAGAATGTATAGGTACGCGTGTATGGTGGAGTCATTGGCGTAGGATCAAGACGTTTCGGATAGATTAGAGATGATGGATATTTTCATTCCAATATAACAAGATGATAATTTTATCATTTACAATTGGTAGGAACAGTATCGGATATCGATGGATGGAGAGCAATATAAATCGCCGCCGATTGATGAGTTTTATATCATCGATAGGATGACTGGTGTCTTTATATATAACACAGATATCGATTAAGGAGAATCTCATCGCTCGTAAATATTCTTTCACGCTATGTTAATCTGTTTGTAAAACGTTTTTTTTTTTCTTTTTCTTTCTTTCTTTTGCTCGACATTCCTGTTGTTTCTTGCATTGGATGAAACGTCCTCCTTTGAAAATAAAAGAAATATATATTGTCTGTAATTCTTACACATTGTTTGCACGTGAGATTTCCTTTTTTGCTCGACATTCCTGTTTACTTCTTGCGCGATGCTGCGCTCCTGGTTGAAAGTAGAAGAAACATTTGTCTATAATTTCAATTCTAAGCCTCTTTTTCAATTTAATCTCGAAAAAAAAAAATTAATTTTAACGTTTAAAAAGTTTTCACAGCATTCGCTTGATTTTCGTTATTCATCGATAATGAAAAGCCGATCTAATAAAGCGTAATCAAGGTTTATAGTTGCATGGAAAGAATCGTACAAAGGGAACACGAGCGCAAAAATCGCTATATATCCCTGCAGGATTTCGATAAATCTTGATGTCATTGTCAAAAGGAGGGCGTGATTTCGGCAAAGTGGCTGCTACCATCGAAGCTGAGAATGGTTGGAATCGCAGTAAGCGGCCGATTGAATAGAATACCGCAAGAAAACCCCGTCTCTCCACGCTCCATAATTCCGCGGCTCGAGCCGTCTCTCTCTCTCTCTCTCTCTCTCTCTCTCTCTCTCTCTCTCTCTCTTTTTCTCATTTTTCCACCGCAAACTCGGCTTCCTTTTATTTTTCACGGTTTCTTCCCCCACATTCCCTCCTTCCCTCCGCCGCGTATCTCTGAGGGGGGTGACAAAGAGTCGCTGTCGAAGGAAGAGAATGAACCGATGAATGGTGGCGGTCAATGCCGAGGCGTGAGACCCCAGGACACCGTGGATTGTCCTCCGGGAGAAAACGACACAGAGAATGAATGGGGAAGAATGGGCTCCAAACGAGGCAAAGTTAGTCGACCTGAGGGTACCTGTACGGCAAGGGAAAGGGAGAGGCAGATTCACGAGAGGAAAAATGGACGGAGGAATCCGGGACGTCTCGACGTAAAAACTGCCCCTCCAATTGGAAATCGCGTCTCTTCCCCCCTTCTCGTTGCGATAATATTTTCCTAGGACTATACGAAAACTCGATACTCTCGATTTTGGATTCGTGCTGCGATCTCGTTTCTTCTCCACGACAAGTATACCGAGGATACTCTTCGATTCTTTTATCCATGGATTAACTGTTGCGACAAAAGCTCCATCGTATTCCCTCTCCTGTAGATTTCTCTCTCTCTTTTCTTGAGGTAATTCAATAAAAGTAAATATTTTTAGGATAGATAATTCTATTAGCTCTATTCAATCGTTGGATGGATCTTGTTCTTCTTGATCTTGTTAAAATAGAGAATCACTTCAACTTTCTTTACTTTAGTCATACAAAAGAATTTCTTGCTGTAAATGCAAGTTTTTAACTCCTTTTGACGAATTTTCTTTGTTATCCTTGTGTTTTCAATATATTTATAGCCTATATAACCTATATAATTAAGATAACCTATATATAATATATATATATATATATTATATATAATATATAATGAATATATATATGAATATATATAATATATATATATAGGTTATCTTCGATGAATACAATTTGTGAATATTCTAATTGCGAAATTCTCTTTTCTTTGAAGAGTTGATCATGGAACGAAAGGGGGAAGCTATAAAGATTGAGCAGATTAGCTTTGTTGCAATATGAGCATCTTAATTTTTTTTACAGATCAGTAGGCTCGGCTACGTTTTTTTTAATCCATATAGCCTTTTTAAGACCCTTCCTGGACTTTCACGTCGTGTATATTTAGGCTGATATTAGGCCTTGCCAACTTCTATGCGGTTGCTTATTAGCTTCCCTCTAGTATATTGCCTTCGTAGTACAGTCAACAACTGGATCCTCCGCGTTTATCGTGAATTATTTCTTTTTCCCCCGTCGTTTTTAATGGTTTCAGAAGCATGACTAATTTCTTCATGCCATACAAGATTGATAGGATAATTATTAGTTTAAGTAGTTAATGTTGATTATTTTCCCAAGCATATCTCAATACAGGTATAATATAAAGTATTTATTTATAGTATCATCTAGGCTAAAGTTGCAATTTTGTTGAGATCGAATATTAACTCTAGACTTCCTCATTTTAGAGTTATAATTTCTCATATAGCAAAGTAGATATTATTACGGAAATCTGAAATAAAACAAATGTAAATAATAATAAAACAATATGTTAAAATAATAATTTTTAAATGTTGGAAGAATTAACAGAGAGTGATAGAGAATTATTTTTCACAAATTTGGAAAATTTAAATATTGATAAAGATAATATTTTTCTTTTAAAAATAAACTTTACTTTTTTACTTTTTAAATTTTTAACGTTGTATTAATATCTTGTAAAATACTTGAAAAGATTATAGATTCATGGAATTTCAAATATAAAAGTACTACTGATAAAGTCTTCTTTGTCGTTTCGCAACTTTAAATCGTCCTTCTTCAACTTGTTCCAACACCAAGTACAGTGCAAAACGGAACATTACGTCACATGAGTACAATCGAGCTCCAGTCAAGCTGAATCGCGTTGTAATCGTAAAAGACGGCTAGCTAGGCAAATATTTATAGTCACTTCCTGCCTTGGGACTTTCTCACAGGCAAGGGATTCCAGTATATAGACGTAGGAAAATGATCTTGAAGGATCACCTCTTGGTAAATCGTTTTTACTGTGGAAGATCTACAAAAAAAAAAATGAAATTCGATCAGCGTGACAAGCTTCATCAAAAATTCATAATCTTTATTTTAAATGGATAAAATACTTATAAACTATTGTTTATTTTATCTGAAAATCTGAATATCTTTGAAATTATATTATACAATAATTAAAATTATGCATACCTTTAATACTTACTTTAATAACCTTTAATAACGTTTTCAATTTTTACTAGCTATTTAATTTATAACAATCATATATGATAAAAATTATATCATTAAATTGAATTAGCTAGTAACAAATGAACAGCATTTCTTTATTAAAATATGATTTTAAATAACAATAAGTAAACAATTACTGAAAAAATGTGAATGATTTATTTGTAAAGAAAAGTTAATTTTAATTCTACATTCATAATCCATCCTAATCAAAGTAATATATATATCATAAAATATATTATAAAATGACTTACTTTAAAATAAAAAATTCATTCTTTCAAAGTTTTGTGAATTGACAATTTCAAAGCGTTTCTCATTATATGTATCTGAAAAAAAAAAAAACCAGGCATTGAAATATTATACAAATCGTTAAAAGTGGTGTCAAAGGAAAGAAATGCATATCTTTTAATTATTGTCTGTTCCTCGACTCCCGAAACCTGTGATTCTTTTTTATTCTGAGCTCCTTTTATTTTTTTGATGGTTGTTTAATACATCCAGTTTTTGCGACCTCCCAGGAAGAAATCCAGGTGGTCTGTGTATCTCTCGAGGTTGACTTTCTTCCATCCGGTATAGTAATATGCCGATTTCGATATCGACAAAAATAATAATTGAGATCGAGCAGTCGATAAATCGAGAAAAGATACGACGAGAAATATATCTTTCGACAAAGTTAGATTTTTCTTTCGTTACCTTTCTTTTTTTCTTTTTTTTTTTTTTATACTGGCAAGCAACGATTAGAAAGTAATTAACGCCTCGATCGTTTGTACATCGTTAAATTGGACCCCCTGCAGCCACTACCCATCTTCAACCGGATACTCGATGTTTCAACGGGGGATCCTATTGTTTTCTTTGAACTGCTTTCTCATCATCCAAAGTAGATGAATCTCGTTAATAATTCTGACATATTTTTTATGGAAGAAATATGAATTATCGATTAAGAATATCGTTTAAGAAAACATTACCAAGAGTTTAATATAATACGTACATCCACTGCATCGTCTGCTTTCCAATGTTAATTTATTTTTCTTGCTTCTTTTATGTAACGAAGAAAATTTTTTTTTTTTATTATATTCTTATCAAATCTGGAAATTCGATCGTTTCTACCTGAAAAAAAATACAAATTAATTTTGTTATTCTTTTAGAATCTTTTATATGATGGTCATTGAATTAGTCTAGAACGAGATCTTTTTAAAAGGAAAATTTAACGAGTAATCCAACACGATGGTAAGATGGTTTTTCCGCAACAAAGGTTTAGGTTATATAGGGAATAATAAAAAAAAAAAAAAGGAAAAAGGAGAAGAATGACAGAACATTGGTGTTGTGTCCCCGCTTCTTGACAGTACTAGCAATGAAATGAAAGGGAAGGCACGGTAATTGAAGTTAAACGAGATAGCCAACCATTCATAGGTTACGGAATCATGACAATGAAGCTCGCTTTTCGTTGAACGGTTGCTTCGGGCGACAGACAATGGCTCTGCTGGAGTTTATACCGTTGGCGAGAAGTTACGTCGTAATACCGTGGCCATTCTGCTATTTTTCTACGAGAAACACTCTCGCAAATTCCATTTTTCTCTTCACAAAATTGTTCTTCTTGATTTATGTTGATCGTCTTGAATTAAACTTTCCCCACTAATCAAAATCTTTAGTATTCATTCGATTTAATTTAATTAATAACAAATTAATTTAATAATTAAAATTATGCATACCTTTAACTTACTTTAATAACCTTTAATAACGTTATCAATTTTTATTTACTATTTAATTTATAATAATCATATATGATCGATGAAAGTTAAACCATCAAATTGAATTAATGTAATAAATGAAATCATGTTTCAATAAAGAAACATGATTTTAAATAAAAATATATAAATAATTACTGAAAAAATGTGAATGATTTATTTATAAAGAAAAGTTAATTTTAATTCTACGTTCATAACCTATTCTACCCAAAGTAACGATACATTATAAAATATATTATAAAATGATTTACTTACATATACAGCATGTAGTATATTTCTAAGAATATATTTCCTTTATTATGTCTCTTTACATTACCATAATACTATTTGAATACTTTCTGAATTATAATTTGTCTACTGCATTTCGTATCTTTACTTCATAATCCGTTGACATTTTGCTCAATAAATTACGAAGAAAATAATTAAAATAATTTTCGATGATCAACGCCATCTCGCGTTTGGATACTGGAAGCTTCGACTTGTTACTAGCATAGCAGAATATACGAGGAGGTATGCGAATCGTATGACGTCACAGACAAGGTACGCAACATTGTGCGAGAAAGATAACAAGCATTTTTACTTTATCGCATGGAAAATTCATTAATTATTCGTTTTATACTTAAAATTTCAAGACTTTTAAACTCACATCTTAAAGCTAGAAGTTCAGGCATGTTTCCTGTATCAATTTTATTGTGAAATAGCTTTCTATTAATTATTTATATTAATGATTAATACATCGTAATTTCTAATACATCGAGACACCATATTGAAAATTAATTAATTACGCGTTTTCTAAACAAAATTTATGCACTTTTAGACTTGCATTTTAATGTTACAAGTTCAGACAAGCTTTTCCTATCAATTTTAACGTGAAATTTTTATTAATTAATCATTTATTAACAATTACACATTAATATATCGTAATTTCTAATACATCGAGACGCCATATTGAAAATTAATTAATTACGCATTTTCTAAACAAAATTTATGCACTTTTAGACTTGCATTTTAATGTTAGAAGTTCAGACAAGCTTCTCTTATCAATTTTAACGTGAAATTTTTGTTAATTAATTATTTATTAACGATTTTTATAAGGAGAATTTTATTTGCAAATTCCCTTTCTTTCGTCGAGTTATAAACAATTAATTTTTTCATTTAAACAAAAGAAAAATTGCGAGTAAAATTTATACGTGAATATAGTGGTGGAAATAACGTTTCAGATTTGTGTAATTATATTTATAAATAAATGCAGCAATAATAATAAATTAATGAAAAATACGTCGCGTACGAGTGACGTCAATCCGATGTTTACGCAATAATCGATTAATAAATGATTAATTGAAAAGAATATCGAGTTAAAATTGACACGAGAAATTTGCCTGAAGCTTCAGCTTCATGACACATTCTCGAAAGTATCGAAATTTTGATTGAGAAACGAATAATTAATTAATTTTCAATACGGCGTCTCGATGTATTTAGAAATTACGATAGGTTAATAATTAATAAATAATTAATGGAAGAATTTCGTATCGAAATTGATACGAGAAATTTGTTTAAAGTTCTAACTTTAATATAGAACTCTAAAAGTATATAAATTTTTATTGAAAAAGTAATAATTAATGAATTTTTAATATAGCATGGTCGAAGTGGTGGGGGATATTAGGAACCGTATAACCAAAAATAGTGGCTCGTCTATTCTGTCCTTCTCGCACGATGTTGTTCTCTTTCCCCCGTGACGTCACGAATACCTTCTTGCACATTCTGCTATGCTAGTAACGAGTCGAAGCTTCGGTGATCCAAACGCGAGATGGCGTTGATCACCGAAATTTTTATCCTTGTCTAACTTATGGATAATACAATACTCCGCTGTCATTTACAAGAGAAGAAACGCGGCAGAAGAAATTCCAACGTTCAGAAATAATTGTTTGAAAATTTTCATATCTCTCTTCTTAAGAAAATTAAAAAGAGGGAATTAGTTAGAAGAAAAGAAAAGACAAATATTCATAAGGTATGAAATAAAATCTTTACATTTTTTTTCAAGAAATTTCTTTGTTTCAATTTTTATAATTTTAGAAAAAAATTATTCCAAAGAAAATACGTGATATTTTCTTTGAAATTTACATTTATCTCGCACAGTGTATCTAAAACTGAAGCAAGACATCACGTCACGTCTGTCTGAGCGCGACACATTCACACCAAAGATAGGCTTGGCAGATACAAAACGAAAGATAACAAGATCGATACTCCAGTTTCTGACTTCTCGACTGAACGAACTCCCGCGGTGACTATACCACCTCGCGCTATACTGGCTAAGAACCACGTGTGTGTCTCCGCCAACAGATCGAGATCGACCGATTCCTTCTCTCGAACGCAAGACAAAGGCAAAGGCTTCGTAAACAATGTCCCACTGCGATCGTGTTTCAAGAGATGACCGATGACCTTATTCGTTTTGACATTGGCCAACGAAAGATTCCCAAGGACCCGGATAAAATCTCTAACCCTGCCTCGGTTTACGAGCACAGCTACAGAATGAATCCAAGGTGAATGATTTAAACAACGAAGATGGAGATTATCAGCCACTGTATCTGTTCCGATCCGATAATAAACGTCGTCCTCGAAATGTTATATATCTATATACTCTTACTTGAAATTAAGAGATCGTGAAGTGTACGATTCCATTATTACCTACAAATTTCTTTTTACTTATCATGGACATAAACCCATTGAAAAAGTAACTAGTTAAAAATTTCGAATAAATTTACTTTATTAAAATGCTTGTATAACAAGCATTTTATTCGTGGATAATTTTGATTGTTTACCATTACAATTATTATTATATTTTGAGCGATAAATTATCGAAATAACTTTATTCGTAACTTCGACCTCGAAATTTTGATTTCTGATAAAAACCAATGGTAAATCGATCACGAGATCACGAAATCAGTGGCCGAGGATCATCTTTACGACGAAGTACGTCGTAAAATGTCGTTCTAAACACGGACGGTTGGCCATAGGTAGAGATGATTCTATCTATGCGCCAGCATCTCTCGCGCGTCGAATTCCTGGCGAAACGAGAGGAAGCCTCATCACGACCACCCACGACACTCGTCGTGGCGAATTCGTAAGGGCACGAGTTTCCCCTATCCCTTCTCGTCTCCCCCCCTTCCCTCTTTCCCCTTTCTTTGCCCTCTGCTCCATTCAACTCTTGGAAAAACTGGTCGCTAAAATGGAATCGAAGTGGAAAGGAACGACGACCGCCCGCGAGGATCGCTCATGAAAACGGCCCCCCTTTCTATCGTGCCCCCGAGGGATGCTTTTCACGATCACTTCCGGCACACAAGAGGCGACGATTTTATTAAGTCTAACGCGCGTCTCTCCTCGAAATAAATTCACTGTCATTCGAAATCCAATTTTTCTTATAATATTTTTTCGATATTTAGAAAAATTTTTATTTCGAATTTTTAATAGAAAAAAAAAAAATTCTCGTCTCGTTTTTTCTAGAAAGAATGCTCTCTCAGCTTTGGATCTAGACACGGCGGATAGAAGTTTCGAAAAAATAAAACTCGCTTTTAATTATTCGAGCGGGTGTAGTTGGCGGGCATGTACACGCGTCGACGGCGAGCCGTGATCGCGAAAGGAAGAGCGGAATATATTACAGCCTCGTTTCCTTTCGACCTGCCACTCGGTTAAAATCTCACTTTCGAGATAAACGACGAGTAAAACACCGCTGAAACCGAATACTCGTATAAATTACAGCGACAATCCCAATTAACGTATCATTCTCTTTGCATCATTTTTTCCGGAAAATCGATCGTATTCCTGATATAAAAAAAAAAAAAAAAAAAGAAAGAAAAGAAGGGACAATTATTTCATTCCAATCGAACCATCCTCGTAGATTTTTTTATATTGCTCCTATCCTCGATAAATTCGACGATGAAACGAGAGTTCGTATTTTTCGAAGAAAAATTACGAAGTCTCGTTATCGATAAGATATAACATAAATCCTTTAAAGTAGTCTACCTACTTATTTTAAAAACTTGGTATCGAACAGGTATCGCTTGTTACTTACCACTTTCCATCACGTCACAGTCAATTTGATCGCACTTCGAGAAACTTCGAGTTCGACAAAAATTCGTGAGAATTAAAAAAAAAAAAAAAAAAAAAAGAATTACACGTCACGGTATCAACAACAAGATTACACGTCTCCTCTTTATCGACCCGATTTCGTTGATCCTCGTCGATATTTTTCCAAACGAAAATACAAAGAGGACGAAGAAAAAAAAAAAAGAATGAAAAGAAGATGCAACGTCACATGAATGTATTTTTTTTTTTTTTTTTTTTTTGCGAAACGGATAGGAGGAGGTGTGCGTATGGTGAAATTGAAAAAAACCGAAAGACGTGCATCTCGGGCGAAATTGCACGTATTGCTCGTTTCTTATTTCTTCTTCGTTTAACATGACAATTTAGCTTCGGGCTACGGTTTACGCTAATAAGCACTCGGTGCAACAAAGTTGAACCACAAGGGAACGATTAAAACTGGTGAGAAAATGTATCGTGACGGAAACACGCGTGTGAAGAATTTTTTGTTTCGTTGTTCGAGAATTAATTAAGATTATTTTTTTTTTTTTAACGAAAAATCTTTAACGAGAAATCGTTGACAATTTTTTCTTTTTTTTTTTCTAGCGAATTTTCGTCGAAATTAAGATTTTATGTAACAGGAAGGTATACAGGTGAGGAGGAGTTGGCACGGTTCTTCCTTGGACAAATGTATTTCTTTCATTTTCTTATAGCCGAGATACAAGTCCATTGAATGTTCCTATATCGATATCCTTGAGAGATTCGTTTCAGTTAACATTCGAGTTAAAATTAATATCCGCTTGATTAATCTAAAGTGCAACGAGACAACGAAAAAATAATTCGTTTAATGAAACGTAAAATTCGCGAG